TGTCTCCACGGGGTCGCCGACGAACCAGTGGGCAACGATGAAGCCGCCCCTGCCCTTCTCGAGCCTTTTCGCAGGGATCATCGCGCCGTCGTCCATGATCTTCACGATGGTGTTATCCCTCACGTCGATGCTCACCGCAGTGTCGGTGCCCTCGCGCCAGGCCCCAGGAGAGGTCATCTTCTCGCCGAGCTCCTCGCACTCCTTCTCTGAGCGTGGAGGCGACTCATCCGAAATCGCAATCATATCAACATCGCGATGCGGGGCAGCTGGGCTGGCGAAACATGGGCTGGCGGCCACGTCCACGATCTCCAGCAAGGCGGGAGCGGCAGGCCCAGGCGGTTGGATGCTGCTGCTCTCATCATCATCTGACGACGCCGACGGCGTAGTGTGCCGCGGAGTGGAGGCCACGTTGTCCAGAAGATGCGGGAACGGATTCTTTCTGGCCGTGGATCCGCTGTCGGATTTGTGGCCCACGGTCGCCTTGGGGGTGGTCACCTCAGCAATGGCGCCATCCTCGAGGAGCTTGTACACCGCCATCAGGCCTGTTGGGTGCGCCTTCGCCTGGTCGCTGCTCCTCCCATGCTTCGCCACGATCTTCAACCACGCCTCGAACTTCAGTCTTGCGTGGGATAGAATCGTCCGGAACGAGTACGCGATCTTCTTCTCGAAGTCAAGTTCGGTCTTCGACATTTTGATGGCCAGCTTCCGCGCCCTGATCGCATCGGTGGGGTTGCGCATCAGATGCATCTTCACTGCGCTCTGGACGTCCTGTTGGCTGAAGTAGCCGCCCCGCTTGTCGATGTCCATGCACATGAGCACGGAACCCGAGCACCTCTCGAGGTAGTCGGACACGATGCCCTTCTTGAAATCGTCGGACGGGTAGACGCCCCACTCGAACATCACGTCAATCATGCTCTTGAGAGCAGCGCACAGGCGCTCCGCCCCGTCGACCTCGTCGTCGGGCTTCCAATACGGCACCCGCTTTTTCCTGCTCTCGCCCATCGCAATCCAACTCCGAGCAGCGAATCGACGGCGCCCAAAAACATCTCGAGCCTAAATGGCTACGGATGGAGGAGGATGCGGGGGAGGAGGAGGAGGAGGAGGAGGAGAGGAGGAGGAGGAGGAGGAGGAGGAGGAGGACGAGGATGAGGAGGAGCAGGAGGAGAGGGGGGAGAGGAGGAGGAGGAGGAGGAGGAGGAGGAGGAGGAGGAGGGATTCTGCAATTTCTCTGGAATCTTGAATTTGTTCTGGAATAGTTCTGGAATTTAGCCCTCCCATCCTTGCCCTCTCCAGTGCGTGGATGAGGAGGGCGAGGAAGGCGAAGGAGGGTGACAGGAGGAGAAATGAGTAAGGATACGACGAGAGGAACGATATGGAGGAGGAGGAGGAGGAGGAGGAGGAGGAGGAGGAGGTAAGGGAGGATGACGGGAGGGAAGAACGGCCAGCGGTGGCGGCCCCAGCCACCCCCGACGCGCCTTGCGGGCGTCGGCCTTGTCGCACTGCTGGTCGTTCTCCTTGGACCTGGGATGGCGGGGCGGCCCCGCTCCCAGGGGGGACGAACGACGACGACGACGACGACAACTGCGACGATGACAACGCCTCGGCTCACGCTCGAGACTTCCTCGCACTGTATTCTAAAGAAGCAATGTTTGAACATTGCTTCTTTTGAAAGAGAGGATGTGGAAAGGATGTGGGGAAAGATGGAGGAGGAGGACTGCGAGGTGGAGCTCCCCCCTAGGATGAGCCCCCCCTCTTCCCTCCCCCTCCTTCCCAGGAAGGAGGAGGAGGGAAGAGGAGGAGGAGGAGGAGGAGGAGGAGGAGGAGACGGAGGAGGAGGAGGAGGAGGAGGAGGAGGAGGAGGAGGAGGGGGATGAGGATGAGGACGACGACGACAACGACGATGAGGGGGGGGGACGAGGAAGAGGAGGAGGAGGAGGCAGATGAGGAAGATGAGGAAGGCCCCTAGCTAGCTTTCCCCGCGGCGACCTGCGCCAGCCGCGCCAACGCGCGTTCGGCTCCATCCACTCGTCGTGGGGGAGCTTCAGGAAGAGGAGCCCGCCCTCCCTGATGGACAGCACGAGCCTTCGGGAATGGGGGGTGCGGGGAGCAGCGGGCTGCTCTGAAGAGGGGTCGTCGTCGTCGTCGTCTTCGTCGTCATCGTCGTCGACGGCGCCTCAACATCGCGTCGAAGTCGCCGTCGGCCCACTCGATGCCCGCCGAGTTGAAGCCGTTGCTCTTCGCGACCCGCTGGACGAAAAACTTGCTGTGCCCGATCTCGACCTGGCTTGCCCTCCCTTCTCTCTCTCTCTCTTCTCATTCCTCCTCCTCCTCCTCATCCCCCATCCTCCTCGTCCCCCCTCCTCCTCAACCTCCTCCTCCTCCACCTCCTCCTCCTCCTCCTCCTCCTCCTCCTCCCCCCCTCCCCCTCCTCCTCCTCCTCCTCTTCCTCCTCCTCCACCTCCTCCTCCTCCTCCTCCTCCTCATCATCATCATCATCCTATCCTATCCTCCACAGTCCCCTCCTCATCCTCCTCGTCCTCCCCGTTCCACTTTTCGTTATCCTCCACATCCTCTCCCCCCTCGCCATCGACCTCGCCGCCGTACTCGTCGTCGGTAGTCGGTCGTAGTGTCGCGGTCGTGGTCGGGGTCGTGGTCGTGGTCGTGGTCGTCGTCGTCCTTGTCGTCGCTCTCGTCGACGTTTCGGCGGTGTTTGTCCCGAGCGAGGGGCCGCGTCGAGCGTCCGATCCGCCTCGCGCAGGGCTGCATCCCTGGCAGCCGTGCCCCCTACGGCCAGGGAATCAAGCGCCATGCTTGAACAGCGCAGCTGCGACCGAGCCGCGACCGCGCAGGGGTGTTGGGGGGGCGCTAGCAGCGGTAGGTGCGTGTCGGGACCTTCTCGCTCCTGCAATAATTATATACTCGCACATATACATATATATATATATAATTATATGAGTAAGTATATAGTAGTATAAACGGTATGATAAGTTTTATTTCTTAGAAAGTAACATTAATATTATAATATAATATTTTTCATATAATATTTTAGGAGACCAGAAATATTTTTTAGGCATGGAACACTAAAAAAATAATAATATTACAAAATAAAATAGGAAAACAAAAAATAAGAAGATTTGAGTGTCTGGGACAGAATCGACAACAACAACAGCCATGCTAATAGTGTTCGCTCCAGTCTGCTCGCGCGCCAATCGACGCGCGCGTCCCAAACCTCCGGCGCCCGCCCTCGCCGTCTTCGACCGCATCCGATTTGGGGGTGTTTCTTCCTTGCCTGCCACGCATGTTTAGCGCAGCCCCTTAAACGGGGGAAGAGAGGGCGGTGGGCGGGGGGGGGGATTGGGGCGCGAGAGAAATTTGCAGGAGAGAGGGGGCAAGGGGCAGGACGCAAGCGGCATAACCAGACCGGCAGATCGGGCGGGCAGACCCGCAGCGGGAAGGCCGGGGAGGCGGGCCGAGGCGACGCGGTCGAGCAGGCGGGTTGCTGAAGCGCGGGTCTTGCGCGAATCGCGAGGAAGTCTCGAGCGATGGCGCGATTCCCAAGTAAGTCGCGAGAAGCCAGCGCGGGCCACGAAGTGCATGCAATCCGAGGCCACAGCGGGCAGAGACGGGGCCGCCGAGGGCAGCGCCAGGGCCGCGAAGGGCTGCGAGGGGGCGGCGGACGGCGACAGTGGGGTCACGAAGGGCGCGCACGCGAGGCCACGACGGGCGCGAGCGAGCGGGGGCCACGAGGAGCATTCGTATACGGGGCCACAAAGTGCGACAGCGGGGCCACTGAGGGCAGCAAAGGGGCCGCGAAGGGCAGCGAGGGGGCCGCGAAGGATGACAGCGCGGCTGCGGCGGGCACGCGCATGGGGCCACGACGGGCGCGCGCGAGCGGGGACCGCGAAGGGCGCATGATGTGGGGCCACACCAGGCAGCAAAGGGGCCGCGAAGGGCAGCGAGCGCAGGCGACCGCGGAACCAGCACGGGCAACGAGGGCCATCGAAGGCGGGCGAAGGGCAGCGAGCGGCGATTGCAGCCGGTAATTGGCTGGCCGGGCGGGCAGGCCCCGACGGGCGGGTCGAGCGGGCGGGTCGTTGAAGCGCGGGTCTTGCTTGAACCGCTAGGTAATATGCAGCGGGAGCGCGACCCCTGAGTGTCGAGGACCGGCATCTGAATAAATTGCGAGGAAATGCCAAGCGAATTGATTCGGCGGTAAGTTGCGAGGAAGTCTCAAGCGAGAACGCGATTCTGCAATAACTTACACGGAAACATCATGGGGGGGCCGCGATTCGCTGGCACAGCGCAAGGAAGCCCGAAGCGAAAGCGCGATGTTCAATGCATTGTGAGGAAGTGTCAGGCGGGAGCCGTTGTTGTTGTATTTTGAAATGAGAGTTCAACGGCCCCCGTCGGATACATCTTCACAATGTACTCCCGAAGCGCGCTCTCGCGCGGGACGTCCTCGCAATTAGCGCAGGCATCAGGCTCGCGCGTGGGCCTCTCACCGCCCATGCAGGCGCCGCGCCCTCAGCGCTGAGGAATCACGCTCTCGTTTTGGATGTCCTCACGATGAATTTGGGAATCGCGCTATCGCTCGAGACTTCCCCGCGATTCATGCAGCAATCACGCTTAACAGATGTTTGCTAGACCTGGCCGCCTGGGCCCGCCTTCCCGATCCGCCCTTTAGGGTCTAACGTCTGGTAATGCCGTATGTTTTCTGCTCGTTCCGCCCCTCCCGCTAATCCCGCGTTTCGCCTTCCCCCCCCTTGCCCTTTCCTTCCATCCGTCGCCTTTTCCCCTGCTAGAGGGGTGACGCGAAATTCGCGTTGCAGGTGAGAAAAATGACACCGACCACGGCTTCTTGCGCGGAGCGTGGGGATCCGCAACGCCAAGGCTTAAGGGCATGGAGAACTTGCGCGCCGCGCCCCCCTCTTAGGTGCAGCTCCCACGCTGGCCTGGGCCATGGCGGCCCGGCGCCGACCTCTGCTGCGCCGCCAGCGCGGATGACGGTTCTGCGTCGCACGGCCCGGGCGCCGGGCCCCTCGCGGTCTGGCGCGGGGGCCGAGCCCGAGGCCGACCCCGGTCCGGCAGAGGAGTTCGCGGGGCTGGCCTCCGCCCTCGGCGCCCCAGATCCAGGCTTGGGCGGCGGCGGCGTCGCCGGTGCCAGGCCACCAGCGGGCCTGCCTGCTGCGGCACCCCGCGCGGCGCCAGGCGCTGGCGGGGGCGCCCCTACTCACCCGCTGCACCCCGCTCCAGCCGCGGCGGACGGGCCGCCGCAGCTCCGCGACGGCGCGCGGCCCCACCGCGCGGGGGGCCCGGGCCCAAGAGCTTCGGGCCCTCCTGCGCGCGGCCAGGGAGCGCGTGAGAGCGGCCGCCGCGAATGGCGCTGCTGCCGACGCCCCCGCATCGGCGCTCTCGGAACGCCTCCGGGACCAGCCGCCGCCCGCAAATCGCGTGGTTGGCATCGATGCGTGGGTGGAGCTCTCGACCCTGGCGCGCAACTACGGGTTTCTCGGGCGGCCGCGGCTCCTGGCCAGACTCCCGAAGTTCCCGGCGGAACCGACGGCCGCGCAGAGGCAGGCCTTCGAGCGCTTCCGGCTGCTCGCGGCGATCTGGGCTGACGAGGGGGCCCCGATTAATTTGCCCACCTCCGCGGTGGCCGAGCAGAAGGCTTTGGGGCTCCACTGGGGCGAGCAGGTGACTCGCGCACTGCCGCTCGCGCACGACGGCGCCCCCCCTGGGTCGCCCGCCGCGGACGTGGCTGCCTGGGTGAACCTCGAGGACCTCCTCGACGGGCCTGCGCTCGATGCCCTTAGCGACCCCCGTGTCCTCAGGCTTCCCGAGGACGAGGTCGCGGCGCCTCCCCCCCGGGCCAGCGTTCTCGTGGACGCCGAGGAGGAGTGCTACATGCTAGTCGAGTCGCTGCACCGTTTGGGCGTCATGGAGGCGGAGGTCCTTGAGGAAACGTGGACGTTCCAGGGGGGGCCGTCCGGAACGGCCTGTTCGGCGCCCGCAAGGCATGGGAGGAGTCGGCGGGCGGCGCCGCAGGGCCACGCGCCTCATCGTCAATCTCGCGCCGACGAACGCGCCCCAGCGCCACTATTGCGGCGCCTTGAAGACCACGGGGCACCCCGGCTGATGGCCACTCCTCGTCGTGCACCATGATGAGGTCCAAGTGCATATATTCCGAAGATCAAAGCGGGTGTTACAACGCCCCGCATGGGGCTGCTTTTGGCCAGCCAGGCTGCGCGTCGGCGAGACCTCGGATGCGGACTTTCCCAATAGGGTGGGTCAACGCCGCGGCGTTCATCCAGGCGGCTCTCGACGATTTGGCCACAGGCAAGTTCCCGCATGGAGCAGGCCTCCCCCGCGAGCAGCTCATCCTGATGGGCCACTCGGCGCTGTCGACTTCAAGGTTGTCCTCGACACTGAGGTGAGCTGCTGCGTCTTCGCGCCGAGCCGGAAGCAGCTGGCCGCGCGCGCGGCCTGCGCGAATGCGGGGGTCCAGCGCGCGCCAGAGAGAGCGGCCGAAGGGCGCCTCTCCTGGGTGACCCTGGGAGCGCAACTCCGCGAAATTGATCGTTTAGTTGGCACGTCGCCGTCGCGCCGGTCGTTCCGCGTTGGCTGGCGCCTCGACCGCGTCGCCAGCGAGCGCGTGATCAACGACGACCCTGTCGGACGTCGGCCAGATCTGTTTCGCCGCGCAGTTGCACCGTGGATTTGTTCTCCTTCTTGAACCGGCTGTTTCGGGATCTGGCGGATGGGTCCGCTCAGCCCCGACGTTGCCGACGAGCATTTGGCCGCGGCGCCGGCCATGCCGCCATGCCGCTGCTCTGCGCGGATCTTGCTGGCCAGGTGTCAGGAGAGGTGGTCGCTGGCGACGCATCGGAGACAGGCGGCGGCGCGCGCGTCGTCTCCACGGGATTGTCTCCCAAAGGCGCTGCTCGGATCCAAGCCTTTGGGAGCGGCGTTTCCGCGAGTCCTTCCGACCTCCTGTTGGTCGGCGACTTCGACGGGATCGGCGGAGCCCGCGTGGCGCTGGATCTGCTTGGCGCCACGCCCTGCGGCGCGATTGCCGTTTAATCTTCCCGCGCGGCACGGGCGATGATCAAGGCCACTTGGCCGGGTGCCTTCTTTACTCCAACGTCGCAGCTGTCGCGGCCGATCAGGTGGCCAAGTGGTGGGCGGACAGGTGCCCGCGGGCCCGGGAGGTGCTCCACATCAGCGTCCCCCCCTCCCAGGACTGCGCGCACCTGCAGCACTCGCGGCGGATATCCGGCCTCCTCCGGCAGCGCGCTGGCAGCAGGAGGTCACCCAGCGCGTCGGAGAGCAGACGATCTTCGTCGAGGCGCCTCGCGTACTGCGCGGCTCCCAGGGCCGCCTCTTCTGGCCCCGGGGCCCCCGACCCATGGACGGCGACAGTTTGCGGGCCTCCGGATCGGAGCCGGGGGGTCTGGACAGCCTCCGCTTCCAGGGCCGCGAGGGTCGCGAACGCGGAGGAGTCGTTTGCGCGCTTCACGCGGCCTGTCCGGCACCGCGCTCCGCCGGCCGCGTCCGCGGCCCCCCGCCATGCATCCCATATGTCCTGCAAGTGGTGGGCCCGTGACTTCCACGGGCTTCCACCCGTCCACTATGAGGACATGAGCTTGGTCCGGGACCAGGGAGGACCTCGTCGAATCAGAGTCGATGAACAAGTTCGAACGCTAGGGTTTCGATGGGGGCACCTGCATCCCGTCGAGCGCGTGGCGCCGAATGCTGGACTCGAGGATGTGAATGGGGCCTTGGTTCCGGGTGACTTCCCAGCGCTCGTCGTCGCCAGGTTTATCAGGCGCGTCGTCAAGATGGATAGCCATCGCGGGACGTTCGACGAGCTTTGAACCAAATGGCGCGATTTCGACCAGGAGGCGCGGCGCTCGGCGACGCGGAGCTGGGCGCAGGCGCGCGGGGGGACTGCAATGCCAGCCCTGGCCCCGCCTGCAGAGGCTGCCGCGGGCGGCAAGCTGGGCCCCGAGGGTGAACGGGCCCAGGAATATATCAGGCTAGCTGACCACGGGGGCTCCGACATCAGGCTCGGCGCAGGGATGCCCTACTGTTTGGCTGCTTGGCCACGGGCCCCCTTCGATGCTGGGCGCGGCGAGCCAACTGATCGCATGCGTTCCGCAACCCGCAGCACGTCAACATCTGGGAGGCCGCGGCGGTCCTGGATTTCCTGCGCTCGCACCCCAGTGAGAACATGAACAAGCGCAAGATGTTCCTGCTGGATTGCCAGGCGGCTATGGGTGCACTGACGACGGGGCGGTCGTCGTCAACGGGTCTCAACCAGGTCCTGTTGCGCATTGCTGCCATGGTTGGGTCTTCCAACTTTCGGGCTTCCCACGGATGGGCCCCGGCAAAATCAACTCAGCAGACGGGCCCAGCCGGTGGGAGTGGAACCACTTTTAGCGCCCTTGAGGAGGCAGCAGCGCCGCGGGCGCGCGGCCGTGGACGCGGCCGCTCGCGGCGCGAGAGTGGCTATGAGGCACTCTCTGGGACGGTTGCGCGATCTCGTTGTGCAGCCGCGCGCGCGGCGCCTTTGCGACCGCGCTGTTCGGCCACTTTTGACTCGCATGTTGACTCGGCGCCAACGGTGGCCCGTGTCTCCAGCAGCGCTCGATGCAGCTCTTTCGGATTACATTGAAGAGCTATGGCAAACAGGGGAGGCCAGAGCCATGGCAGCGGACACTTTGACCGGCATCGCGCACTACGTTCCCAAAATTCGAGGACATATCTGGGGCTCTTGGCGGCCTCTCACAGCCTGGCAGAGGTGCGAATTGCCGGCCAGGGCCCTGCCCCCCCCTCGGTCGTGTGCCCACGCGCTCGCACGGCGCTGCTTTGCACAGTCATGGCGTTGCACGGGCGCTTCAATCTTCTGAGTTTTGATGTTCTTGCCTGGCCAATTGGATTATTCAATTCGAATCCAGCTCAATTGATTCTGTCTGCCGACTTATCTCTGGGGGTTTGGGTTCTCCCTCGCAGCAGGGGCGGGTTGCGAGGAGGCTGCTTGGAGCCACTTCCTCTGTTGGACTCTTGGGCGGCCAAGCTGCCGCGCGTGCATTTGCGGAGCCGGGAGGCGGCCGCGGCCCTTTTTGACGAGCGTCCTGCTACTCATCGCGCGCGGCTTCAACGAACCGCTAGCGCTTTGGGCCTCGTCGTGGACCTTCGATGATTTAGCATTCGACGCGGCGGTGCCATTGATTATTTTCGGAGGAACCGAGATATCCCGGCACCCATGGGATTGGGGCGGTGGCGTTCCCAGACCACCGCCCGCATTTACGTCGCAGAGGGCTTGCAAATGCTTGCCGAGATGGTGCCCGATCCCGGTGCGCAGCAGCGTCTTCAACACAGAGCAAGGATATTCTGGCGATCTGAAACTTGGTGATCGTCCAGGCCGTCTTCGTAGAATGGTGTTTGTGGACACTCTAGGGTGCCGCTCGCCGCTCGCAAGACTCAGTAGCGGGCGGGTTCAGAACGGCTCGTCGGTCCCAGCCGGCAGCGGGGGTTGGGCTCGCCAGGGGGCCCCCAGCCTGCAGCAATTGGGTGGCGCATTCGGGCGGCCTGCAGTTTTTCTGTCGGTCGCCGGCTTGCGCCCCCCACGCCGCTGCGCCACAGGACGCGCCGTTTGCCCAATGTTTCTTGCCGCGCGCCGCTGAGAAAAAGCGGGGCAAGGGATGCCGAGCGGAGCACTATACATATCTTCAAGGGGGCGCGGTGGAAAGAGGGGAATGCAGGCGCAGAGTGTCGGGGGAAAAACGTGTTGAATGGCCCGCTAGCAGACAAGAGCGCACAGTATTTTGTTGTCGTTGTTGCTGTTGTTGCTGTTGGTGTTGACCTGTCATTTCTAAAGAGAACAATTATTGTTGATCCCCTTTGTCCAGGGCGTATTTTTTTCATTTTAAATGCACCTGGGGCTCGCACCCTGTCTTTCTTGTCAAGGGGAAACTGGAGGTCCCCAGAGTGAGCCCCTGGCCCCCGAGTTAAAACAACAACGGTTCCCGCCGGATACTTCCTCGCAAAGGCCACGAACGGCTCGAACCCCTTTTCCGAGAGGTCGGCCTCTCACTCCCCCCCCCCTCCACCCGCGCATCTCGCGCGGGCGCCCATGCAGCTATTGCGCCACATGGCTGGGTGCCCCAGTGCTCCTCGCGCCGCCGAGGCAGCCTGGCAGGGCGGAGAGGACCTCGCACACCGTGGCGCTCCACCTGACGAAGGACACGCTTGCGGCGCCCCTGTGTGGCGCTCACGTGCCCAACTACACCGACATCGTCGACATCTACGAGCTGCGCGATGGGGAGCCACATTGGGGACACCTCCGGGCCTGGCGCTGCGCGCGCTGAAGGCAATTTACCCCGAAAACTCGATCATGGACACGCCTGTGGCGCCCTGGTGTGGCGCTCACGTGCCCTCCGACATGAACGACAGCATCGTCATCTCCGAGCCGCACAATGCACCCCTCGAGAAGGCCCGGGAGGACCTGCTGGGCCCCCACATCCCCGCTGTGCCATACCTCCGCCGTTCACATCTTCGTCAACTCCGTCTGTGCAGCCAGAGGCGCCGACATCTCGCCCATCACCCTGCTGCGCCTCAGGTCCCGCGCAATTCCGTCTCATCATGTACACGCGTGGCCCGTCGTACCCTCTCATGCGTGGAAGTGTGCACATCAGACACGCGTGCCGAGATGCAGGGCCATCAGGCGCTGCCACCAGATGCAGATGCGAACATCAGCTACAACGCTGGGATCAGCACGTGCGAGAAGGGCGAGCAGTGGCAGGAGCCAGACGTCACTGGCACTGACATCGTGAAGAACGATTCTGAGGAAAATAGCACCAAGGGGCACCCGACGAGCATGCCGCTCTCTCTTGCCTGGCACCAAATGTCCTTGAGCGAGGATCTGGCCGACGCATACAAGCTACCCGCCGACATCTACGAGGCTATTACGAAGGGCATGCGTATCAAAACGACCCTCTGCGAAGCCATCTAATACGCCGAACAACTCACGAGCGCCCACGAATATTGGCACGGTGCCCCTCCAGAAGGCCTCTTCGATCTGTTCGCGGACTTCGCAGAGTACGGTTGAGGGAAGGATCTCTTGCATCGTTACCCGCACTTCTTTTCACTCTCGTGTCATTTGCCCGTCTGCTCTCTTCTTCCCATTCCCTTCCCATCCATCCGTTATTTCATCCATTCTCGGGTTGCCCCTCCTCCTCCCCCCCCCCCCTGTCGGACACGCATGTCTGCGGGCGAGCGCTCGAGTGCAGCACCGTGTCGGCACCAGCCGTTAGGCAGGAGGCGGGTGTACCCCGCAGCGACGAGCAAGGAATGTATCCAGTCTTTTAGCGGGTACGGCGGTACCATTCAGGGCCTTAGGTGCTGGTGTTGCGGTCGCACCCGCCACACGTGGACACCCCACCTGTGGAACTAGTTTAGTCCGTAACAGCTCCCATGTCGTCGTAAAAAAATACTTCCTCACACGTTAGTGGAGACTCGCTCTGTCGCGCGGGACCCCCTCGCCATGCGTGTGGGAATCTAGCTATCGCGTGCGATTTCTTCGCCAGTTATTCATACGATGCGCCCTCGGCTCGGCGCTCAGGGATCACTATCCGCTTTCTGGCTTTTCTCAATATCTATTTGGGACTCGCGCTGTCGCTCGAGACTTCCTCTCGATTCATTCAGGGCCCACGCTTCAGCAACCCGCCTGCTCGACCTGGTCGCCTGGGCCCGCCTTTCCGACCCGCCCGCTATGGGTCTGCCCACCCGATGTGGCTGTCTGGTTATACCATTTGTCTTCTGCTCCTTACCCCCATCCTGCTAATTTATTTCGTGTTCCAGCCTTCTCCCTCCCCCTTCCGCCCGTCTACCCCCTGCTTTGGGAGCTGCACGGACTGCACGTTGCAAGTAAGGAAGATCTACCCCCAAGGGGGTACGATCGAAGACGAAGAGGGTGGGCATCGGGGGTTCGGGATATACCTGTCGGATGGCACGTGAGCAGGTAAGAGCGAACAGTTTAACATGATTTATGTTGTTGTTGTTGGTGGTGGTGGCGGTGGTGAGTTTTCATGTTTGAATAATAGTAGCGTTTATCACCCGTCCTGTATTCATCGTACTTTTTCAACTGACGTGCCCCCCTCGGGGCTCGCACCCTGTTTGTAACCAGGGGAGTGTAGAGTTACCAAACTGGGCCCCTGGTCCTCGCAGCAACAGCGGTTCTGACCCGATATTTCCGCACAGTGTATTCTAACATCGCGCTCCCGCGTGGGTCTTCTTCGCAAATTATGCAGGATTCGCGCTATCGTGTCACACGTCCTCGCAACTTGTTCAGACGCCGCGCCTTCGACACTCAGAAATCATGCTCGCGCGTTGGTCTTTCTCACGGCTTACCTGGGGATCACATGATCGTTCGAACATGTTTTGCGATGAGTGCAAGGCTCACGATTTAGCAATCCGTTTGTTCGACCTGGCCGCCAGGGCCCGCCTTCCCTACCCGCCCGTTAGGGTCTACCCGATGGGCCCGTGTGGTTTTGCCACGAGCTTTCTGCTCCGAGCCCCCCTCCTGCGAATCCGTGTTCCATCCTCCCCCCTTCCTCCATCCGTTTTTTCTTCCCCTGTTTGAGGGGCTGCGCCAATTACACGCGGCAGGTAAGGAAGATGTACCCCCAGGGTGGTACGATGGAAGACGAAGAGGGCGGGTACCGAGTGCTTGGGATATACGTATTGAATGGCACGCGTGCAGGTAAGAGCGACCAGCCTTAAAATGTTTGGCGTTGGTGTAATTGCTGAACTCTCATTCTTGATCAGAAACTTTGTTGATACCTTCACAGGTGCACATTGTGTTTCCCGCTTGAAGTGCAAGGCTCGCACCCTGTTTTCTCATGAGGGAAAGTATTCCTTCTCAGATTGCGTTGTTGGGCCCTCAACAATAACAACAACAGTCACAACCACACATATTAAGACTGTTCGCTTTTACCTGCTCGCGTGCCATCCAGCACGTATATCCAAACCGTCGGTACCCGCCCTCTTTGTCTGCGATCGTACCCCCTTAAGGGGTGTATCTTTCTTAACTGCAGCGTGTATTTCGAGCAGCCCCTAAGGCAGGGGAAGTGAGGACGGATGGAAGGAAGGGGCAAGGGGCAGGCGGGTTGCTGAAGCGTGCGTCTTGCATGAATCGCGAGGAAGTCGCGTTCTCGCGTAGGGCGTCTTCACAATTTATGCAGACGCCGCGCCCTCGGCACTCAGGAATCACGCTCTCGCCTTGGCCGTCCTCACGATTTATTTGGGGATCGCGCTATCGCTCGAGACTTTCTCGCGATTCATGCAGGACGCACGCTTCAGTAACCCGCCTGCTCGACCTGGCCGCCTCGGCTCCCCTTCCCGACCCGGCGGTTGGGGTCTGCCCGAGAGAGAGAGAGAGAGAGAAAGACGAGAAAAGGGGACACGGAGAGAAGAAGGACGACACATGCACACAACCAAAATGCACACACACACACACACACAGGCGAACTGTTCGAGAGATGACCGCGATTGGCCAACCGCCCGAAGGGTGCACGGGCCGCGGCATGCCCCCCCCTCCCTGTCTTCCATTCTTTCTCTGCCTCCTCCTGAAGCTGAGAACTGCACTTCCGCCCGCTACGGACCAATGCTTTTGCCAGTTCGCGCCCGCCCGCCGTGCTCTCATAGGGCCGTGCCTCTTGGACGACGGTCGGCGCGTCGCCGCGCCCCGTGTCGGTGGCTTGCAGAAGGGGTCTGGGGCGCGGGGGGCAGCTCTCCGAGAGGGCGCGGGGCCCCTCGGAGGCCTGAGAAGTCCTCTCCGAGGCTTTCGCCCCTCTCTGCGGAGCCCCGTGGCCTCCCACCCGACGACGATGGCGAGGACAGCGGCGACGTTGGATCCGACGACGCGGCAGCGGAAGAGATGGAGGACGACGACGTCGACGGCGACGGTGGTGGCACCGTCGGGGCCGCCGCCGACGGCACCCGCGGTGCCGGCGCCGACAGCCACGGCGACAGCGATGGCCTCAGCGACGGCCTCCTTGACGGCCTCCTCGTTGACGACGACGACGACGACGACGACGACGACGACGACGACGACGGCGACGGCGACGGCGACGGCGACGGCGACGGCGATTGCGATTGCGCGTGCCCGCTGGAGCCGCGCAGGCCGGGGCTCCGGCCCGGCGGACTTCCTGAGCCAGACGGCGAGGCCGCGGCGCCTCCGCGCGCCGCGCGGACGCGCGCCCAGGCCGGGCCGCTGCGCCAGTGGCCGCATCATCCGGGCCGCCGCCGCGGAGGTAGGAGATTTGCGTGGTACCGATGCCGATGCCACTCCCCCCCGCCTTGTTTTCGCGTGTTTGGGCCTCCTGGGAGGCCCTTGTCGCCGAAGCTCAGGCCAAAACTCACCCCGGGGAAGGCCTTGCAACTAAGAATGTTAATATTTTACTGTCCACGCTGACGCAAGTCCTCTCCCTGGGCTGCCGCCGCGGAGGGAGGGGACGTGCGTCAACGGGGTCATGTGGCACCCGGGTGTCGCCCGGTTTCGGGACCCAGGGCCATCACAGACCGATTTGGCTTTAAAATAGCAGTAGAACGGTGCGGATTGGGGTTATCGTCGCGATTTCTCGCTATGTCGCAATGTTTTCGCAAGGTCGGATCTCAGGGAGGAGGGTGGGGACCAGGGGTATGTCGATATTCCAGATGCTTCGCGTAACCCCACCAGCTGGATCCCTCGTGTGGTTTATCCTGCGTCAAGTCCTACACGCCCTCAGCGGTCACTTGTCAGCTTCGCTGTCTGTGACCTTGCCGCGCCATGTTGGCTGCGTGTAGCTCTTTGATTAAATTTGTGCATCGGCACTGCCCCAGGATCCTGGTCCTAGCTGCAGTTGGCATCGTGTCGGCAAGGTTTCGGACCCTGCCCCGCTTCCTGGCACCACCTCGCGCAGCCCTGCAGCTTGGACAGTTTCGGCAGCTTAGGTTCGCCCGTCGGCCCCCGTGCGCTAGGCAATGAGGTTCGCGCGTAGCCCGCCCGACCTCTGACGCTGCTGGCGCGCTCGCCTGCGGCCGCGACGAAAAAATATAACCCCACCAGCATTTCGGTGCTGGACATCGCTCACTTGGGGCCTCGATGTTGCTAACCTTTCGGCATCCCGTATCTCCTCCCATGTCCTGCGTGTTCGGCATAATCCTCCCCTCAAGTACAAGTCATACTTGTACGGCAAGTTTGGCGCTCTGGATCGCCGCCTCCGCCTCCCTGGGTAAGCGCGGCGTCCGCCTCGCTTTCGCCTACAAGGACTGTGTGTTCGACAAGGCTGCCTGGGGTATGAACGGGCCTCTCGACACGGCCATCCTGGAGCTGCGTGGGCCCATCCAGTGTCGATTCTGGGTTCGCTTGCTCGGCTTCCTGCTTGGCACATACCTCGTGCTCCTGGTGCCGCTCCGCCTCTTCGCGCCGTTTTGGCCGCGCTAAATTCCGCCTCGCCCCAGCGTTGCTCGTAGCTTTGTTGTTCCCTTCGCAGGTGGCATAGCCTGCCCCGGGTTTGCCGGGCGTCCGATTCGCATCGTGCGCCTGCGTGCCAAAAAGTATTTCCGCCAGCCCATCCGGAAACGTTGCCCTGACAAGTTGCATTGATCAAGGACGTGGAGTAGCACGACGTGGATTACAGGGTTGGTTCAGACGTCGGAGAATTTCTTGGATTGTTGGGGTCCTCGTGGGGCGTCTTGGGTGCTTCTAGGGAGCCTCTTGAAGCCTCTTGGGGGCTTCTGGGGGGCATGTTTGGATCCTCGTGGAGGCCTTTTGGTCCTCCTGGGCCGCCTGGGCACCTCTTGGGGGTTGCCTTGGGGCATCCTGGGGAGCCTCTTGGGGGCATTATCGGGGCCATCTTGGGGGGAATCTGTCAAAGGAGGGAGTTCCTTCCTCTTGGGGCCTCCTGGGGATCTCTTGGGTTCCTGGTGGGTTTTTCTTGGGAGCTTCGGGGGCAATCTTCGAGGAGATGGATCACGGGCGGGGGGGGGTCCATGATAATCCCCCCCCGCCAAGCCAAGAAGGGGCCACATTTTTACCTAACAGCGTAGACTGATAGGTTTCTAGTTGACTCAAAAGAGCTCACAGATCACTCCACAGGGGGGTCCGGGCAGGCGTTGGGAGTTGCCGGCCGGGCCTGTGCCGGGCTCGTTTTTCACCAACAGTCACACACTTCGTGCTCGTCGACCTCTCAGAACCCCATTCCCAGGCCACATTCTGAATAACCGGATGCAACAGTCACACACTTGGTGCTCTTCGACTTCCCAGAACTCCATTCCCGGGCCACATTTTGAATGCCCGGAGCCAACTGTAGGCCACTTCGTGCTCTTCGATTTCCCAGAACTCCATTCCCGGGCCACATTTTGGATGCCCGGAGCCAACTGTAGGCCACTTCGTGGTCTTCGAGTTCCCAGAACTCCATTCCTGGGCATGATTTTGAATGCCCGGAGCCAACTGTAGGCCATTTCGTGTTCTTCGAGTTCCCAGAACTCCATTCCCGGGCCACACTTTGAATGCTGAGGCAGGCTGATGCTGAGGCTGAGGCAGGCTGAGGCTGAAGGCAGACTGAAGCTGAGGACGAGGCTGAAGGCAGACTGAGGCTGAGGCTGAAGCAGGCTGAGGCTGAGGCTGAGGCAGGCTGAGGCTGAGGCTGAGGCAGGCTGATGCTGAGGCAGGCTGAGGCTGAGGCTGAGGCTGATGCAGGCTGAGGCTGAGGCAGGCTGAGGCTGAGGCCGAGGCTGAAGGCAGACTGAGGCTGAGGCTGAAGCAGGCTGAGGCTGAGGCTGAGGCAGGCTGAGGCTGAGGCTGAGGCAGGCTGATGCTGAGGCAGGCTGAGGCTGAGGCTGAGGCTGATGCAGGCTGAGGCTGAGGCAGGCTGAGGCTGAGGCCGAGGCTGAAGGCAGACTGAGGCTGAGGCTGAAGCAGGCTGAGGCTGAGGCTGAGGCAGGCTGAGGCTGAGGCTGAGGCAGGCTGATGCTGAGGCAGGCTGAGGCTGAGGCTGAGGCTGATGCAGGCTGAGGCTGAGGCAGGCTGAGGCTGAGGCCGAGGCTGAAGGCAGACTGAGGCTGAGGCTGAAGCAGGCTGAGGCTGAGGCTGAGGCAGGCTGAGGCTGAGGCTGAGGCAGGCTGATGCTGAGGCAGGCTGAGGCTGAGGCTGAGGCTGATGCAGGCCGAGGCTGAGGCAGGCGGAGGCTGAGGCCGAGGCTGAAGGCAGACTGAGGCTGAGGCTGAAGCAGGCTGAGGCTGAGGCTGAGGCAGGCTGAGGCTGAGGCTGAGGCAGGCTGATGCTGAGGCAGGCTGAGGCTGAGGCTGAGGCTGATGCAGGCTGAGGCTGAGGCAGGCTGAGGCTGAGGCCGAGGCTGAAGGCAGACTGAGGCTGAGGCTGAAGCAGGCTGAGGCTGAGGCTGAGGCAGGCTGAGGCTGAGGCTGAGGCAGGCTGATGCTGAGGCAGGCTGAGGCTGAGGCTGAGGCTGATGCAGGCTGAGGCTGAGGCAGGCTGAGGCTGAGGCCGAGGCTGAAGGCAGACTGAGGCTGAGGCTGAAGGCAGGCTGAGGCTGAGGCTGAGGCTGAGGCTGAGGCTGAGGCTGAGGCAGGCTGATGCTGAGGCAGGCTGAGGCTGAGGCTGAGGCTGATGCAGGCTGAGGCTGAGGCAGGCTGAGGCTGAGGCCGAGGCTGAAGGCAGACTGAGGCTGAGGCTGAAGCAGGCTGAGGCTGAGGCTGAGGCAGGCTGAGGCTGAGGCTGAGGCAGGCTGATGCTGAGGCAGGCTGAGGCTGAGGCTGAGGCTGATGCAGGCTGAGGCTGAGGCAGGCTGAGGCTGAGGCCGAGGCTGAAGGCAGACTGAGGCTGAGGCTGAAGCAGGCTGAGGCTGAGGCTGAGGCAGGCTGAGGCTGAGGCTGAGGCTGAGGCTGAGGGTGAGGCTGAGGCAGGCTGAGGCCGAGGCTGAAGGCAGACTGATGTTGAGGCTGAAGCAGGCTGAGGGCGAGGCTGAGGCAGGCTGAGGCTGAGGCAGGCTGAGGCTGAGGCTGAGGCAGGCTGAGGCTGAGGCTGTGACTGCGACTGCTGTTGCCACTGCGACTGCCATCGCGAATGCGACCACGACTGCGAGAACAGCAGAATTCTACAACAGGATTCTTATCTGAATCTTAAGGGGAATGCTTCCAGATATGCTCCTACACATCGCTGTTAGGTTGCTTTGCCGGGATAATTTTATATGGGAAATCAATGGTTTTTACCTTCTCACCTAGGCCTCTTGGGGCATCTTTGATGCCTCTGCCGGGCCTCTTCGGGCGTCTTGGGGGTCGCTTGGTCGCCTCTTGGGGGCAAATTGGGGGCCTCTTGGGAGCCTCTTGGGGCCTCCTAGAGACCTTTTGAGCTCCCCTTGGGGCACCCATGGGGGCGTCGGGGGCAATCCGGGGGCCTCCCAAATCAGGTCCCCCCCAGGAGGGCGAAATATGACCTAAACCTTAACAAAACATCAGCCTGACGAAGGACCCAGCCATATGCAAGTGTGAGTACCGCAATTGTGATTCACTTTTTCGGTGGTGATCCCTATGAGGCAACGAACTGCGCTATGGGTGTGCCGATATGAGTGGCGTGGTACACAACGCGAACGAAAACGATTTGATTTGAGTACGTAGGGTTTTGAGCGCGGGTGAATCTGAGCGCGAGTGCGTCTGACTGTGAATGAATCTGCGTGCGAGCGAGTCCACGTGCATGAATGCGAGTATGAATGGAAAAACACATTGTGCAATTGTGTATGAATGTCAATAGTTTGAGAACGACTACCTTTGAGTACTCGTGACGTTGGGCGTGGACGCCGCAAGGAGCTTCCCCGGGACTCCCCGACGGCATCGCCCGCGACGCCAATGTCGGCGCGCCCCCCCCGCAGGGATCGCGCCCGCTTCTTCCCCTTCGTTTACTTCCTCTCTGCCCGCGCGCTCAAAAGTCCAAGGCTGCGGGCGCAGCGCAGCGCGGAGTCCCCACGACGCGCGCAGGTCGCCCCAAAGGGATCCCGGCGACGCGCGCGGGTCGTCCGCTGGGCGTAGCAAACAGAGCTAGATGGTTGGCTGATAGCGGGCAACGCTCTTGCCGCTGGGCAGAGCGACGACGGGCGAGCGAGGCGCTGGGCAGAACGCGACACGGAGCCCCCGCGACGCGCGCAGGTCGCCCCGGAGGGGTCCCAGCGA